GAATCAAGCTCTCCCCTCCCACGCCCCCCCCCACAACCAACACAACCACCCCCCCCCCCCCCCCCCCCCCCCCCCCCAAAAAAAACCATCCAAAAAAGGATTACAGGGAAAAGCATACTCTGAGTAGCCCTTCCATTTGGAGCCACTCCATTAAATGTCAATATCTTATTAAAAGTATAAAAAGGAAATCAACCATCACAGGGTTGATGTTCGCATTAGTACTCAGCCCGAGAGAGAAGACCCATTATGGGGTTCAGATAAATATGTGATTTTTTTCCCTTCTTTTTTGTGACCTTGTGATTCCATTAGGCAATGAAATCCTCTCTCTCCCTCGTGTCCTCAACTTCTGAAAAGTCCGTTAGAGAGCCCAAATACAATGTGCAGTGCTCCTGAAACAATGTCACATTTGAACAGTGGCTTTCGTCCGGAACATTTCACCACACCTCTGCTCTCTGATGCACAGCTGCAGAGATTCTTAGTAGAAATAACAAAACACTATCAAAAGGGCAAACCAAAGAGTGCCGGCCTAGTTATATTCATGTCCCCCACCTCATATTGATCAAGTCACATCAAAGGGCTAGTGCATCTCTAATGCAGCTTGGCCTGCTTTCTAAAGAGCTTTCTCCACTTTGATGGGGGATGATGGTATTGATAGCACTGTCACAATGCAGGAGTGCATCTTCTTGTTTTTCCCACATCATTGCAGAATAAAGCGCGTCATGCCTTGCACTTGGGAGTAAAAAATAGATGCAATTCACTAAGTAGAGTCCTATTAAGCAGCATGTAAAGATGGTGGTTCTCATTAGCACTCAGCCAGTCTCAATGCTTGTCCATTGTAAGATGACTCAATGGGCTTTTGAAAATTGTCTCATGATTAGATGCTACCTACTCAGAGGTGTGCTGGCCAGAGCTATTGTGAGAAATGAATAAAGTACGCCTATTAGTAATCATGAATGAGATTTGGCTTTGTATAAAAAAAGAGCTAACGGATGATAGCATGTCTACACACAAATGTGGGGCTTTGAAATCGGGCCGTACGATGTATTACAAAAGAAGCTGCCCCATGTGCAGCTTTATTCTGAACCCATCAGTAACTTTAACCATTGACTAGGTTTTACACTTTCTCATGTGTATTTTCCTTCAGCCAGTGTCTCAGTATTTTTACCTCCCTGCCTTCGTTCTTTCACCAGAAAAGCGCCGTCGGAACATGGAGTTGATTCCCCTGACAGCGCGGATGGTCATGACACACCTGGTGAACCATCTGGGCCATCATCCACTGAGCGGCGGCCCCGCCCTTCTCCACAGCCTCGTGAGCGAGAACCACGACAACCCGTATGTGGAGTCGTCCGAGCTGTCCTCCGAGGTCTTCAAAAGCCCCAACCTGCAGCTGTTCGTCTTCAACGACAGCACGCTGGTGTCCTACCTGCAGATCCCCGCCGAGACCCCCACTGTCGGACAGCCCCCCCAACCCTCCTCCCAAGTGCGCGTCATCGTCCGGGACATCTCGGGCAAATACTCGTGGGATGGCGCAATCCTCTACTGCACCACCGAGGAAGACTCTGTTGATGCAGACGTTTTTGATGCAGTCGATCGCCCTCTTTCGACTACCACTACTGCCTCTCACAGCAGAAACCAGCCCAACTCTCCAACAAAGGGGCCGTACAAACATCATTGCTTCGTCTCGGACTCCCTCTCTGACTGCTGTGAGGAGGAGGAGGAGGTGGATATTCTGGATATGCTTTTGGAGAACCTGGGCCACAGCAGCCCGGAATGCCTGCCCCAGCCACAGCTCAGGCTCAACCAGCCCGCCTCCTCGCCCCATGGCATGAACCTAGAGCAAGAGAGCGCCATCCTGGAGGCCATTCTGTATCAGACTCAGCAGGAGGAAGAGCAAGTGAGGAGGTGGGATGCTGATGTCAGCTTTCGGGCTGCCTGCCAGAGGGAACCCTCCCACCAGGAACCAAAAGCTCCTTTCTACTTCTGCCGGCTGCTGCTTAATGACCTTGGCATGAACTCGTGGGACCGCAGGTACACTAGCAAATGAAGTTGGCTTCATTAAGTGCTCTGGTTTGCACTGTACTAGAAGAAAAAAAAGAGTCAAATGGGGTTGTAAGAAGTCATACAGGGGCCTGTTGCTCTCAATGTATTTCTTTATCATTCAGTCTGCAAACCACATGATAAATGTAAGTGGCATGACAGAAATAATAACACACAACATTGTGTTTTAACCTCTACGGTCCACATCCTGTTTTTGAACCCAAGTTACATCATTCCTCCTCAAAGTAACTCAGCTGTTGGCTCGTTACTCAAAGAGAGAAAGAGCAAAGCTAAAAGCACTGTGCAGTCTAGAGTGCCTTAATCTCCTCTCCACAGGGTAAAAGTGCCCAGCTGTTTGCACTAAGGTCTACCTTGCAGAGCCACATCTTTCCCATGCCTCCCCGTAAATGAAAAGCTTACACCTCTTAATGGTGATGGTGCAACGTGTACACAGCTAGTAGGAGATTGCTGTTTGCACCTGTGACCTTTTTGCCTTTGTTAATCATGTCTGAAAAACAAAACTTAGGTTGAAAATGTTTTTTTTAGGACAATTTGCTTCTAGATCATGCCACTTTATTATATCACAAATGGCTGTTCATGCAGAATTGAAAATATCACATGTAATCGAGACTGTTTTTGTCAAACAGGAAAAGTTTCCATTTGTTGAAGAAGAACTCTAAACTCTTAAGGGAACTGAAGAACTTGGATTCCAGGCAGTGGTAATACCTTCATCCGTTTATATCTCTATATATATCTGCTAAACATCAAATTGTCACTGCAGCCCTATAGTAAACCTATTTCTACATTAAATTAACACAGGTTATAAATCACACAGTTGGTCCATGCTGATTATATTGCCCCCTCACTCCCTCCCTCCCTCCCTTCCTCCCCAATGATCTTTCTAATTTGTACCGTCTCCTGTTGATCACAGCCCTGGAAGTCTCTCACTATCACTCTTGCTGTCCTTCTCTTACTGTGCCTCTCTTAGTCCAATCAATAAGTACACCACTCATTGCTCATGACAGGAGCTTATTAACGATTTCCCTCAGGACTAGGCTTCATTCTCCCAGATGGCCCGACTTGGTTGGGCAAAAGCAACCTGTGCGCAAGCATGCAAAGTGCCCTAAATCTACCCTAGCGTGATGTACTGCCATGGCAACAGGGAAAGGAGATGGGGGGGCCTTTGCTGCCATCCTTTTTAAAATCATGTTCGAGCCGGAGGGATAGTGATAGAATGTGCCGGAAAAACACAATTTACCTTGATAAACAAGGTGTAGTCTTTTGAGTCATTGGACTTGAGTGGCAAGAGTAGTGAGGAGCTTTGAAAGTTCTGTTGTGCTTATAACATTGTTGTTTTTTAATAAAGGCTGCTATGTGTTTTGTTCCGTAGCCGAGAGACACACAAGATTGCTGTGTTCTACATTGGAGAGGGCCAAGAGGACAAGTGCTCCATCTTGTCTAACAGCGCAGGCAGCCAGGCCTATGAAGACTTTGTGTCTGGACTGGGATGGGAGGTGCCGACAACCACACCCTCAAATCAACACATCCTCTGCCTTCCGCAGATACAGCCCAAATATGAACGCACTCGCACTCATTCAACGCATTAAACTGTACATGTGTCCCTCAGGTGGAACTGGCCACACACTGTGGCTTTATGGGTGGCCTCCAGAGGAACGGCAGCACGGGTCTGACAGCTCCTTACTACGCTACCTCCACCGTGGAAACCATCTTCCACGTCTCCACTCGCATGCCATCTGATTCCAATGACTGCCTCACCAAAAAGGTAACAAAAGTCCTGGATAATCATAATACGTATCGTAGGAATTGCACACCTCAAATCCAGAGTATGTCGGAAATAAGAAGAATACTGCTTTGCCTGCTTGAAGTGGTGAAATGGCTACACAGTGCTGCCTGCCCATAGCAGTATGTTGTTGTAGCCTTCAGCTCTGTGTTAAGCTGTGATCAGGAGGTGTGACTCCAGAGTGCGGGCATTGATTAGTGACCCTGGCCATTCAGACCTGAGGAGTAGAGAGTCGCAGGCGCGCGAGTGAAGAGAGGGCATGTGCCGCTGCGGTAATGACTATGATTCTGCTAGCCCCTGCCCCCCTCCCTGTGTGCTGTGACCAGGGCCTGGATTCAGCCATTAGCTCTCCCTGCGAGGGCAGGCGCCGGCCGGATACCGGCAGGATCCTTTTATCCAATTCCTGCTGCCGCCACAGGAGCGATCGATTGGGTTCTGCAGTGGGATTCTGAGCTGTAGTGTACCAGTAGCAGTTAGCACGAAGAAATGAGCCGCAAGGCCTCTGCCCGTGCTGCCAATCTTCTCATACAGTACCCTGCTGAGAAGGGAAATTCATCAGACTCTCCTCATATCCAACCCCCTCCAGGCCTCCACAGTCCGTCCCCCTCTCCGTCTCACAAATAACCCCATACTCATTCCAAACCCATCCTGAACATGTGCTTAGTGGCCGCAAAAAATTAGTTAGCCTAAGTAAAGATTTTGGGGTTTTGGGTTGGCCAGAGTGAGGCGCTGGAGGGATGGCCATGCCCAGAGTAGAGTGTGCTGCCACTCCGCTTCCATCCATTTCACCGGGAACTTCCGTAATTGCTCAGGCTCACCTTGCACAGATCTCTCACGGGCTGCACAGAAATTGGCAGGCTGGCTGCGTGCATGGATGCAGGGCAGAGAGAAGAGGAAGTGGAGTGAAGAAATTGATTGAGAAACGGACTTCGTCTGTGTCCAAGTAGGATGTTTCCCTGTCAATTTAAAAATAACACTTTTAGTCCAGCAGTCACCCACTTTAATGCCTGCAACCGTAGAGGCATACCGTGGTGGGAGTGACGGGTTGGGGGAGCTCTCGCTGGGCAGATTGCCTGTTTGAAGACGATGGAGGGTAAAAAAAAAATAACCAGCTAAACCAAAAAGAAAATAGGGAAAACCATGAATTCCTCAATCCAATTGTGGGTTTTAGGGCAGTGCAGGCTGCAGCAGTAGCAGCTGGCTTCCGTAATGCGGTTATAGAAACGACCTGCAGGTTTGGGGTCAGGCCATGTAGAGTGTGTGCGTGTGTGTGTGTGTGTGTGTGTGTGTGTTTCTGTGGAAAGAGAGGGAAATAGACGGGTGCCTTAGCTATCGCATTCACCCCCAGGCACCACAGCTTAACTGGGCTGCTGCAGGTTGTTTTGATAAGGAGCCTCTTGTGGTCTGCTGTCTCCATATGTGTGAAGCCCATTGGCTGGGCGGGAGGTCAAAGAGGGCTAATTGGACAAGAGCCTTTGACTTGAATCCCATTTTATAAAAGAAGTCTCAAACATTTAGATGTGATTAACAAAGGAGTAACTAGGCGGGTGCAGAAGATGATTGACTAGAGCATAAGCATCCTCATTAAACTTGTTGTTAAAGCTCATCCAAATGCTAATATCTTAACCCAAATTAACATCCCCGTGTTAATTGTCTACCGCAAATGCATATTCAACATTTTCTCTGAAATTGTCCCAGTGACTGACCTGGTTGGTACCTGCTGATCCTTGGACAGAACTGGCGAGCTCCAGTAATCAGCATGCCGTGGATTTGTTTAAGATTACCGTATTACCATAATTAAGGGCTTATAATAGAATGTGCTAATTGCATTTTTGGTGGCGAGGGCATGTTTCTTAATGGCTCATTAGGCCCACAGTACATTGGCAGATGTTTTCTTCTGAGTAGAGGCTCACTTTTCAGTGTCCATGATACCCCAGAAAACATCACTGGGCTACCAGCTACTACCCGCAGTGGAAAACCAAAAAGAGAAAAGGAACCTGGTACTGAAAGTGAGTCGAGTCGAGCCCAACCGTGCAGTGAAAAGAGGCAAAAGTGATCCACAGAATACAGCGAGAATATACTGTGACTGTGTCCCTCTGTTTTACTTTGGAAAAGGAGGAGCTGTTTACCTATTTCAAGCTAGCATCCATCAATTTCCTGTCATTTAAGTATACGTTCTTGTCCTGCCCAGTTTCATTTGGATTTGTGAATAGTGTGCAAATGGGAAGCAATTTAATCTATGATGGGGGAAGTCAATTGGATTCGAATTATTTGGTTTTGAAATGCTCAATTTTGCTCATTTTTGTTTGCAATTTGAATTTGTAATGAAAAAGCTATAAAAAGAGTCAAAACCAGAGCCCAGACCCCTATTTAAAACATTGATTTCAAAGTTTGTGATTTAGACTTGTTGGCAGTCACCTTGCTCTTGCCCCTGCTGCAATCATGTTTTATCTTCAGAATACATGCAGTAAATAATGTTTTATTATCCCCTTCCACATACCTCCTATACCTCTTATACACTAGTTCACTCTAAGAGGTGTGAGCTAAAGGTACTGGCTGGTTGAACCTAGCGACATGCCCTGATCTCAATAATATGTGTTATTGTCATCATCACTGTAGGATGATGACAAGAACACGTATCGCCAGGAAGTTGATTCGACTGATTTTGTTTGTTTACAGCTGCGTCACCTGGGAAATGACGAGGTGCACATAGTGTGGTCCGAGCACACCAGGGACTACCGACGGGGCATCATCCCAACTGATTTTGGAGACGTGCTGATTATCATCTACCCAATGAAGAACCACATGTACTTCATCCAGATCATGAAGAAACCACAGGTAAACTATTATAAACTACACACATACAAGATGGATCAACTCAATGGAAGTGGGAAGTTACTGTTATTGCATGTGGTCAAACAATGTATAAGTGAGCTTCTTTTCCTTTTATACTAACGCTTTTCAGATTAGATAAGAAAGGTTTATTTTGATAAATATGTAACAAATAATGAGAAAACAGATTAACCAATAAAATGAACAGTAAACATTCAACACCAAATTTGAAAACACCTATAAGGTCCCACCCCTTTCTATGACTTAAATAACTTAGAATAATTATTAAATAATGAACTTAAGGAGTGACTTCATGTTTTTAAGCTTTAAACTGTATTATATGACTTCACTTTGATGAAACACATCAACGCTGCTGTTAATATTTACATTTCTTACCAAATTTATTTAAAAAATCTGCATTCCACGGTTAAAAAATGCCTCAAAACAGCATCTACTGTTTATAGAAAGCCCACATCTTGCAAAGTAATTTTTTGATCTAATCTACGTCAAGAATCACTGATTTACAAAATCTGGGTCCCTGCTCCCCCACCGCTGGGAGACTTCAGCCGGCAGGAGAGCGGACGGACTCTCCGGAGACAGAGGTGCTAGGGTTCGTGGCTGAATTCAAGTTGCTACATCCAGTGCCTATACTTTCTCCAGTCAAAGTAGTCTCCCAGCGGGGGGAGAGTGAGGCGGAGTGACCGCGGGGTGTAATTCTCATTTCAAGGTGCATCAAGGCTTTTCGTCAAACGGAAGTGCGCTCTGTTTAATCTCTCTGCCCCTTGTCCACTTTTCTGCATTTTTAAAAAAATGATGCAGTGGGTGGACTTAGGCTCGGACCTGAGGGGGGAAATCACACTTTGATGTTGAACCATAGCAAAGTGTCTTAGTCTCCAGGCACACTTAGCAAGAAAACCACTCTGGCTATTTTCAGCACTGCACTAATTTCCAGTCTCTGCTCACGAGTTAAAGCAAGCCTTTCTCCTCGCTTCCTATTCAGACTTTGCCGTGAGTTTTATAGGTCCTTTCTCCTGTTAGGGTTTCTGTCTGAAGACTCTCAGTTTCCCCTACTCCAGCTGTGCATTATTACCCACACTGTGGGTATGTGCTCTCAGAGATGGTTACCATCCTTTGCTGACTAGCTTTCATCTTGGCTACTCTGAAGTACTGCACTCGATGTGTGGCCTTCTAAAGAATATTTCTTTCTCTGAGAATGTCTGCCTTCAGATGTTCAGATATATTCACAATATTTTCTATTTGAACATTATTCAGATGAAAAACAAATGATGTCATTTGTTTTGTATTCCTCACGGAATTCCTCATTGATCATCTTTAATGTGGTCTTTTAAACGAGTCATTTTTCAAAGATGACCGAAGTACATAATAAAATGCGATAAACAATAGAATGTCAGCTTATTTTCAATAGGACAGTACGGAGTATAACAACAGCCCCAGAGGATCTAATACCCTATTAAGAAATAACTTGTTTAAATCATGGACCAATCCAATTATTGTGTATTGATAGTCATAGACCAGCCCCTAGAATTCACTCTTATGTATTCCTATAGTGGGGTGTATTTATTTCAGATGGTGTTAATTATTTTACCGTAAATGTCAGTTATTTACTCTGTTACATATAAACTTTATTACCCATATAAATGATCGTAGTTACATTGTATCTTCATCTCTTTGGGGATCTAAATGATATAACCCTAACTGCATATATTAAGATGCTGTGAGAGACTGTTTAGATCCGCCCTCTTTTATGTGGATGTCCAATCAGTGTTGGTTAAATGTAGTCAGTTGAAGTAATAAATTCCTCAGTGTGTGCTGTATTGACCGAGAGTTCTCCGGAGCTTGCCGTGCCTACATGTACCAGGATGCATTGCGCAGCAGCAGCAGCCTCTGACTCTTTCTGCTGAAATGTTCCCTTTAAACCTAACAATGACCACACAAAGACAAGTGTGCGTCACGATTAAATACTTCAATGGTTGCAGATGGTTCACATAAGTGCGTAAAACATGTTACTCAGAGGGTCTCTAAAGCCAAAGCCCCCAAACCCCAACACATGCAAGCCAGCACATTTTTCCAGACTTGGAAAACTTAAACTGCCTCCACCTCCAACACCTTGTAAAGCTATCTACTCAGATTTACACAGTGTCACCCAAGTTTTCTAGCGTGTGATCAAGTTAATTGGTCCGTATCATTTCTGGTGAAAATCCATTTATTGTATAATTTGACTGGTTATTATACTAGCGGAACTACCAAGTTGAAGACAGCAGGACCTTTTGGAGACTTTGACATTCACGTCAACTTCCAGGTCAACGACCATTGAGCATCAGTGATTAAGGGCCCCTTTCCAATATGCATGAACAGACGCGTGTACCCACACACAATCACACGCTGCCGCTAAAATGCATATTGCCCCTTTGTGTTTGTTCGGTAGCTCAATACGAGGGCTTTGTTTAGTATTGATTGTCATTTTAATTTAATTTGCCTAACATTGATTCACACTAGATATGTGTGGTTGTCATGCAAAGCTAGGTACAAATTCAATTTCATCATGAACCCTTGCCCTAAACAGATGGAGAAACGGTTAAAAAAACGAAAGAAAGGATTAAAAACTTTGTTGTTCTTCTTTCTAATTTGCGGATGCTTACATACACAATGACAGGACACCGACCAAATTAGCTTTGGACCGTCACGTTGCCTCAAGTTCTCATTCTTTTCTTCTTTCTTCCCCAGGTTCCTTTCTTCGGTCCGCTGTTTAACGGCGCCATCATCACCGGGACGCTGCTGCCAAGCTTGGTGCGGGCCACCTGTATCAATGCCAGCAGAGCTGTCAAGTCCCGGCTGACTCTCTACCAGAGCTTGTATCCTTTACTCCTCAAGCCTTCTGCTTCATTTACCATTCACCGTACCATACGATGCATGGCTCGTCAGAGGAATGCAACCATTCTTTCAAAAATCAACCGTTAATGTTATGAGCATACATTTAGCGATGTTTTTATGATGATTGCATTAGATGCATCCACACCGCTGAGCTTAAATGTTCAGCACCACCAGTGGCCCGTTTGGGTAAATTCATTGAGACATGTGGCGTGCCTGTCACGTCAGCCAACGCACACAGCTGAGTGCTGACAGTGATCTTTATGGGCTGGCTGATTTACATACAGCTATTAGGCCGGGGCTGTTTCACAGCCTGGAGCAGCATGGGAGGTTGTGTGAGGCTGTTTTGGGCAGGAGCGCAGATAATGTGTCATCATCTATCACTACCGTTTTATGGAGCACACGGAGAGCCAAAAATAAGAGCACCCTCAACAAACGCATACAAGTGCATACAGACACACACACACACACTCGCCCTCATCCCTCCACCCATCCATCCCAACAGTGTGCCGTTAAGAGCCTGACTCCAGCTGTAGTTGTCAGTTGGTTTAAAGGGAGTGTAATCACCAATGGAGATGAATTAGCATGTGAATGCCAGCAGCGCAGAGTCGGGGGGTGAGATGGAGGGGCAGAGTCGGGATGGCCCCTGGGGGGGGAAACCTGATCTCCCTCAACGCCCCGCTCCTCCTCGGACAGCATGTATGGCACCGCCTCACCAGAACCACGCTGCCCCTCTGGCAGTTGCTATAGAAACCTCCCCCGAGGAGGTTTCATTTGGGTGGAAGGTTAGCTTCTGTTGTTTTTGAAACGTTGACATATTTGAAATATTTTTGAATTATTATGAGGTCTTTGTATCCTTGTCATTTACCCCCCCCCCCCCCAAAAAAAAAGGCTGTTGGTCTTTAATTATCCTACAACACACCTTGCGTATGTTGTTTTGTTTACAGTTGGGTGTGTGTAAGTATGCGTCTGCCCGTATGCGTTTCACAGTGCATCACATCCCCCCACATCAGGCCTTGTCTGTGCGTCCCCGGGGGAATCCTGAGTGACAGATGTCTGTTACCCGACGCCAAGTGAATTAGCCCAGTGTGACTCTCGGTGCCAGAGGGGGGCCAGCCACAGGCCTGCCTGCCTCTGTGAGCCTCAGGGGATAAGAGGGGGGGGGACAGTACCGGGACTGTGCTGGGCCACAAAAGCCTTACCTGGCATTCCTTAGCAGAGGAGCAGACAGCACAAAGGCATGATCTATGAGAGGAGATAAGCGCTGCCTCTAGAGCTTTGGCACTGATAGGCTGCCAGGCCTCGCACACTCCAAGAGTGGAGATGAGTGAATGTGCCAGGCAAAGCACACAGCCAGCACAAGTATCTGCATGTCTGTTTTTTTTTTCCTGCCTAGCTTGAGAGCTTGTGAGGACAGAAGCGATGTATTAACTAATGAATAGCCAAAAATGGTACGTGTGGTGTATGCCGTGTGATAAGCCCGTTTTTAGGTTTTCAGAGAATGTCCTGACTGGCACAATGATCAGCGCTGGCATAAACCAGAAGCGAAAGGCTTGTGGAGTTGCTCTTTTATATTTCCATTGGATTTGCTGTTGTATTATACCAGCCTTTTTGCACTTTTCCCTCTCCAGTAGTCATTCTTCCATTTTCTCAGGCTCTTTATCTCCTTTTTTTTTTCTTCTTTTTTTCTGGGATGTGTTTTTTTGTGCGAGACGGAAAATCCTCGTCCTTACTTTACCCCTTCACAATGCCTTAACAATCCACACTGTCCTCTCTGCCCGTGAGGCCACTCTCCAAGGTAATTAGTTGAATATTTCTTCAAAGAGAAGCTATATGACCCCTGTGTGTACAGATAAAAGGCCAGTATGGCACTGTGGCCCCCTCTCCCGCTCCGTCGCGAGGCTCGAGAGTACTCCAGCAGTCTGCCGCAACGCTCACAGGATCTCTCAGGCTAATAGGATTTGATAATGAAAAATGACCTCCAGCAACAGTGTTTTTCAGATAGATACTCCCCCCTTTGCTGTCTTTCTTTCTGCTCATCACATCCTCTGTCTCCTCCTCTCTCCTTTTCCTCAATCTCTGAACTGTGAGGGTTTGTGTAACCTGTGTACTTGTTTTCTCGCACAGGGTCCGGCTCTCATTGTCAGTTAGAATTTGTGTCAATTTCTTCCGTCAAGAAGACACAACCATGGCCTTGCATCATATCACAAGCCCCCTCGCAGACAACTCGTAATGTATCATCTATTATTTATGTCCCTGATGGAAAATGCAGCTGGTCTGGCTTTGTGTGTCCTAAGTGTATTGTCTGCAACTAGTCCACCCTTCACAGCGGCATTTTGAATAATTGAGACCACAAAATGTTCAATCTGAAACAACTTAAAGGGGAAAATCACCACCTTTGTTATGTGGACGTCCATTCAGTGTGGATGGTAAATGTTGTATATCGAGGCGATAGATTCCTCAGTGTGTGCTCTATTGACGCAGAAAGTAGAGTTTACAGAAGCAAAATCGGTTGTTTTTATTGCCTTTGACATGACAGTGACGTAGTTGGATGCGAGGAATATTTAAAGGCTGCTGTTTGAGCTTCCCAGTCTCTGCCTCTGGCTAGCCAGGGCCACCATCAGCACTGACTGGACATCTACTGATTGGTAGCGGATTTTCCCTTTTAAGGGTTTATAAAAACACCATTCTTTTTTCATCAGCAACGGAGTAGAATGGATGAATGTAATTTTGTTTACGGTACTTACTGCATGCACACAGTGTTCGATAGATTGTGCTTGGAAGACACAATGAGTTTGTCTGTGTCACCTGAACCCAGCCCGTCACTGAATGGCTTCGCCGTCTGCTGCCATTTACTGTATCATGAAGATCCTTCATACTGTCACTGTAGAATAATGTTTTCACCCAGGAGACGGGATTCATTTCTCTCTTCAACAAGCACTTGAGTTTGATGTGCCGTGCATCGCTCTTTGTGATGGGGGGGGGTATTGTTGAGGCTAAAAATTGTCTGCGCGTGTGTGTGTCGGGGAAATGGCAAGTTTCTAATAGGTGAGACAGTGTAAAACTGACCTTGATTCAGAGACATAGCCTCCCTACTGGACAAAATCAATAGTTTTTGCACACTGCCCTTAGTCCCAATCCTCTGCTCTGACACACACGTAAACACATACACGCACACACAGATCCATCTCCAGGCAGCGATCAATAACCATAATCTGTTTCTGCCCATCGCCAGTCATGCGAGCCAGGCTTTTAGGTGGTGTGTGTGTATATACGTGTGTGTGTGTGCAGTAGCAGAAAGAAGAGAGGGATGCTTGATCCTTTCAGTGCTGAAGTCTGTCATGTTCCCTCACAGGCTTGTGTGAGCATATCTACAGTCCCCTTACTCCCCTGAATGCCAAAACGAGATGTACATAATTTCAATGGACGTATACTGAAAAACATAATGGACATGATATCCTGTATGCACTCCTTTGTGTGCTGTTGCTGCACCCCCCCCTGACGCCATCATAATAATTACAGTCACTGCATTGGTAATGACATATTCTCACACCCCTTCTGAGCAAGTTATTGTCCCACTCTCACTGTGTCTTTGTCCAACGACAGTGCGTTCTTTTGTATACTGTAAGATTCCTCACCTAGCGGAGACGAAAGTGCGCCTGTATGCATGATGGGATGTCGTGAATAGGATCTGCCATGTTAGTGTTGTCTCACATGAATTATTTAGCATCGTTGATAGGTCTAATTTGCCAGCTGTTGTGCCATAACTGTCGGCAGTCTCATAGATAATACTCAGCAGTCTATATCACTGTGGAACACGGTGCTTGACTGGGCACAGTGAGACGCCAAGCTAGTCATTTGATGCTGGTTTCATGCAATGGTCTGAGCGGATATGAGGATAACTAGCCAACTTCCTGTTTATGGAAACAGGACTGGCCAACTAAAAGGTCTTATAAAAATGCCAAGAGTTGTTTCCAATATACAGTAACATTCTTAATACATGACCATGACATGTGGTGCAACTTATATTAACTGTCTGGTAGTGTGTCCGTATTTACTGGATACAAGCCTTTTAGTTGGAGGCAGTTGGCTGATGTGGAGTGGGTAGGTAGTTGGGGGTTGGGTTAGGGGCCATTTCTGAGTTGAAGTGTCCCTGCTTGGAGTTGGCCAGGGTGGTTTGGGCGGAGGCTGGCATTGGCTTTAATAGAGCGGTTGAGAGTTTACGCAGTATTTGGGGGGCTACGCAGAGAGGAGGGGTCTCTCCCCCACTGAATGTTTTAACCTAATCCCATTATCAGCGTAGCGCACTGCCTCCCATCTCTTCCCACTCCTTATCCCTACCCCCCTCCTGCCCTGCTCTCCAGCTGACCAGCTGTTCCTACCGGGACTCACGACAATGTCCGATGTGTTCAGATCACTGAGTACCCCCCCACACCCCTCCAATACGCACACACAAATACACAGAGTGCAGTCCATGCACAACCAAAGCAATTGCCCAGCCCATTGCTGGAGCCTACGAGGGCCCAGAGGGAGGAGGGTGTTAGTTAGGGGAGAAGGGGGTAGCGCTGGGGGTGAGGAGGGGGCAAGCACAGGCCTGTCAAACCAAGAGCCCTGACTCAGGAGGCAGCCCAGCTCGGATGGCATATGGCGTCTAGCTTCATACAACATGCAAAAGTATTCTCTCCCTTCGCTGCCCCCCCCCCCCCCCCCCCCCCCGCCTCCCCCCCCTGCTGCTAATGCAGAATGACTCATAGCATTACTCTTTTTATTTTTTTCTTCTCCCCCCCCCCCCGACATCGGTTCCTCCTCCTCTTGCCACCCAGCCTGTAACAAAAGGCGTCCGCTGCATGGCACCCACACCATGAAAGCCCTGGGGGCCCAGCCCAGCCTGCACTCTTGAGGTCTGAGCACGGGGGCCGCCCCTTTTAAACACAGGTAGAGCAGGCGTGGAACCAGACGGCCAACAGCAGGGACCCACAGCCCC